GGTCCGCAGTGCGCTGTCCCAGTTCACGGATTTCCCTAGATAGTGTGGCAGTGATGCGGTCTGAGGTTTGCTTCAAAGCCTTGTGTAGCATTTTTTCAAAGCGTGACAACAGGTCTGGGGGTGTAAGGTCAGGCGTCATGGCTTGTGTATGGACATCTGGTTCAGGGTCAGACTCACCCTCAGACGTGCAGGGATGGCTGGGCTGCGGATCCTGCAGGGCTGCATATGCTCCTGCTGCCTGCTTGCTTCCACGTGCTGGGGCGGTGGCCATCTTTGCGGAGGCCTTTGCCAGGGCCTCCTTAATGGTTTTGGTGGATGGGGGGACCTGGTGCCGGGGTGCCCCTTTGACCATAGTGCTGCTTATATTGGGGGGGGCTGTTATTCCAATCTCAGCCCCCCTGTTCTCTCTCTTCTCTCCCCTGGCTCTATGTGACGAGGGTAGCGGTGGGCGGGCCTATGGACGGCTCGCTGCAGGGACGGAGTCCTCTGTCGGATTCCTCCCACTCGCCGCAGAGGATCCGTCGCTGTCCAGGGCGGACCCTGGGAGGATCACCACGGGGACCGGGTCCCCTCCTGGTATATTGCGGGGGCCGGGACCCGCTGCTTCAGGGCGCTGTCACCCGACGGGGAGACGGAGCCTCAGCGGGACATGTCTTTCCCACCGGCCGCGCATGCGCACTCCGAGTTTTCCATTTTAAATTAACCAATGTGATGGTTAAAAGAAAAAGCTCAATTGCCGTTACCTGGTATGAATGAAAAGAAAGACCGTGAAAGAAAAAGGGGAGCGAGGACTCTGAGTCATTGTAGTCACTGGCCCTTGCGAGTAGGTTTTGAGGGGTAAATCTAATTCACCTTTTCACTTTTCTGAAGGTCCAATTCTTTTAGCGTTCTAGTTTTTTGAACTTTTGGCTTTGGAAAACAGTCGCAACAAAACTATATATAGGTTGTGGTTTCTTTGGAGCTGAGAACCCCTTCTTCCAGTCTGCTGACCTGTCCAATAGCATTTCTAGTTTTGGCCCAAAAAAGTTACCTGTTGCCAGAATACTGCGAGGTCTAGCTTTCTAGACTGTCTCCTGACCAGGTCTTCAACCATAATGCACATCTGCATGCATTGATAGGATCTTGGAGTGCCAAGAACTGCTTGGTACTCGGCATAGTATTAGAAGAATTTTAAAAGTTCTTCCATAGGCGTACCAGCCTCCAAATGGGAATGCAGTTGCTCTAACCAGATATCCAATATTCTTGCTATGCAGGTTGTGGCTAAGGCTGGCTTAAAGTTTGCTTCTGACTCTGCTTTTTTTTACTCATGGGTTCTTTTATGGTTGGTAAAATGAGGGAAAAAAAAAAAAAAAAAAAAAAATCAGAGGCTTATAAATATCATGCACCCTACACAAATATAAAAGGCACCCTACACTCATTACAAGGCACGGAGGACCCAGCACTTTGCATTTCTACAACAATATTAAGGTGGTTAATAGCCCACATATCGCGGTGAAGAACCCCCTTAAAGGCAGGGCCCTGCCATCTCTACAACATTGAGGAAGTCAATGGTGATTTTTACATTGCTGATTCCCATACTCAAGCAATATGGACATGTTCATTGTGACCTAATAATATTTCACCAACTACTCTTGCCATTACTTTATCTGGTTATCACAGAGGCTAACCACATCCCTATATGTATTTAGGTTTCACCCACATTACCTGGTTAGGTTTATGGGCAACTTTATCATTATCACTTGGTACTTGTTACCAGCCATTATTGCAATGTATGCTATGCCTATATGGTACAAATTCTTTGATACACCTCCTGCATGGCAGTGTAACCAATGTGTCGGTGCTGCAAATATATTAGACCATTGTCACTATGTCTGCAGCATATCACTACTAAGAGACAGTCCTGACATTGATTTTATGTGATTTTAGGTCTTTTTATGTATTATCTCATACTGAGGTGATGGTGAACCAAGGTATTTACTTTAACTGTCCACATATGTATTGCGAAATTCTACTTCTAGAATCGCATTCTGTCCATAATGTAACCACTTTCTGTGAATCTCTTTTCACGTTCTCCCCTTTTTGATGTTTTATATGGTTCCCTAGTCTTCAAAGAAAAGATCTGTCGTGTTCTTGGAAATGGAGGCATCTAACTGGACACTTCGAGGCTCCCCACATCTTATGAAAAAGAGAATCCCTTAAGACTGAAGATCTGGGACGGGGGGTTACTTTGTGCAAAACCAAGTATAACATGCTTGTAATTAAAAAAAAAAAAAAAAAAAAAAAAAAAAATCACAATCACATTTACCTATTGGTCATGTCAGGATTTTAGAGCTGCCCTATGAAACTAATCAGCTCTACCTATTATCACCTTGGACTAAAAAACAATCCCCCTCATGCTGGAGATGAGGAAAGAGGCATTTTATACAAAAGCAAAAAAAACAGGCCAATACCTATCCATACCATAATGGTCACTGTGAGGTCACCTTGCAACAACAATTTGTTTTAGTTATCTGGACAATTATTTGGCATTTAAGAATTACTGTTAAAAATGTCTAACACAATGCCCATAGCCTTCTAAAGCCTACTAGCAATTGTGATTCCTTCTTATGTTAAGCATTACCTTAAAATGATTGCAAAGGTCCCAATTTAAAAAAAAAAAAAAAAAAAAAAACAAAAACCACACACAACACACACACACACATACACACACACACACACACACACACACACACTTGTGACGGGAGTGACTTTTGGGGGTGGGGGACCCATCTCAGCTCCTCAGATTCCTCTTATTTGTAACCCACCCTGTGCCTGTTAGGGGTACAGGGTGGTCTGTCCTGATACTGTGTAGACATGTATAGGTGGGGTGGGGGGTTGTCCATTGTTCACTGCCACATGCTGCATCCCATTGTTCTATTGTGTCTTTCTTGCCAGCAAACTATTATGGGATGTATGTGTTCCTGCCACATGGTGTATCCCTTTGTTCTATTGTGAATCTTGGTTTGGTGGGGGGTGTTTCCGGCAGCCCTTCCCCCTGATGGGATGGCCTGCTGATGTGTTTCCTGTTCCTGGTTGTATTTCCCCTCCCTGTGTATATATCTTGTGTTGGTGTTAAAATAAAGCAGTTCTACTTCCTGTCTTAAGAAGAGTCTGGTTCTGTCTATTTCCTGTATGATCAGCGGTGGGGTCTGTAGATGGTGTTTGGCCAGGGGAAGCTGGAGGCTAAACAGAAATACCCTAGTGCTGTCAGGGTCCGGTTCTGTTACAAATGTTTACTCTGTGCAACAGTTTTCCACAGAGCAGCTCCGATCCTCCTCTTCTTGGGTCCCCTGCCAGTGCTCCAGGCCCCCGCCCCCCCCCCCCCCCCCCGGGGGCATGTGTGCATGCTCGCTCCTGAGTGTCTATGAGACACATGGAAAGCGGTTTGGCCCCGCCCACCACTCCCACCTTACTGGCTGTGATTGACAGCAGCAAAAGCAAATGGCTCCTGCGTCTCAGCCAATGAGGAGGCAGAGACCCAGGAGAGCTTCTGCTCAATCGTTGGATTGGGATTGGGCTCAGATGAGTTGGTGAAAATGCACAAAGGTAAAAATCCTCTAGGCTTTAGAACCACTTTAATCTCACAAAAACCAGAAATATGTGTTCATTATTTGTACCTCGCTTATAAGAAGTTTACTACCAAAGATAGCTGCATGAAAGCTGCCACATTGTACAGATAAAGAGGACTTGAGGGGCCAGGTCTAGAAATGGTAACCCTCTGAAGAACAAGCATCTTAGGAAGGTTCAAAATCTGAATCACTAATAGACTTATGACATATGCATATAAAAGCTGTAACTTGATGAGGAGAATACTGTGCACAGAGAGGTTAAAATGGTCAAAAATATAAAATAAAGGAGACATTACTAGACCTGACAACCACTTTTGACTGTTTTAATACTGGAAACTAGAATTCTAGGAACCTGAGGTTCCCAAGGAAAAAGTAGACTGATGGTTCAAAAAAATGCACCTAAACTGAGCTTTAAACAGCCATACAAATGAAAAAAAAAAAAAAGTACTGGAGAGCAGACACTATTTGTGTGAGTCTTCAGATCAGAACCCAACTTTCAAGGCATGCTCTTGGCCCAGAATATACACGACTCCTCTTTAAGATCAACTGCCTCTATTTCCAGCTTTAATCCTGACCCTGTCATTTAATTATCAAACACCTGAGGCTAAGGGGACAGTAAATGCATTTGACAGCTGAATGCTAGGGACAGGGATTAACAAACAATGAGATAAATTTTACACCTTGTTGAATAACACAGGTAAGTGAAAAACACAAGCTGCTTGCAGATCCACACTATAGGACTCATAGGAACTTAATAGACAAGGTCAAAGTCACATAAAGCTCTCAGCAAGGTAGCCACGCTTAAGAATACCATCATGCATGGAGAATCAAGCATGATGCAAGACAGTTCTAATCAACAGAAACTAAAAAAGTTTTGACTGAAGTTCTACTTTAAAAAGGTAAGAAAGGAATGTTAAGAATTACATTTTATACAAATTATAGAGAAAGGGACCAGAACTTTGATCCACATGGGGAAATGTTCCCCATGTAACTTTGCCACACTACACAGGCACAAAGAGGATACTTTCCAGATGAAGCAATACATCACAAGACATTTTGACTTCAAATTTGGTAAATGGAAAATGAGTCATCACTTCACTTCTGCCCAATTTGTCTGAGCAGTGATCCAAGAAATCATAACAAAATATTAAATTCTTCAGCAGATAAAGTGTAAATATATATGGGTATACGTTAACAGCTTATCTAGTTTTTTGTTGGATTTCACTTTAATGTAAGCAGATGCACACGCAAACAAAAGTCAACAGAAGGCTAAAAAAAGAAATTAAAAAAAAAAAAAAAAAAAGTTGATTACAGATATCGTACAAAAAGTTTACATCATGAGTATGGAAATGTAGCAAGCTGCTAGTGTCTACCTAGAGCGAATCCTTACATGCGAGCTACGGCTTTCCTTGCCAGCTTTCTTTGTAATCGCCGGTTTTCATCAGTGTCACGAAGAACATGGTCTTCTGCTGCCCACCTATCCCAGCTGGAGAAATAAAAAGTGAAAATGGAAGTTAAACAAAAAAACTACACATAGCAGTAACAGACTTTTAAGATATTATTTAAACTCAAACGACAGACTTTATAATGTAACTGGTACATTTAGCACTCTTTTTAGGTCTTACAAAGTGTTTAAGTATTATGATTAATCATTTTTATTTTGTTAATTTTACTATTCTTCCCATTAGTGGATCTCTACTCTGATTTACAGGATGGAAACAATTAGAAACGGGTGGTCCAGGGTGGCCTCTCAGTAAATAATCAAAAATACAAAATATAAAAATATCAAGTAGTTTATATACAAAAAGTCTTACTAAAAATATATTATACCCATACAAAAAAAAAAAAGTTTACACTCAATATGAATCATATGACTATATACACAGCAAAGATATTTATAATACCAGTAATGTCATAGGTTACACTGTCAATGCGTTTTGCAGTCAGAAACGGCTTTTTCATTACGTCATATACCTGAATATGAGGTCATGAAGAAGCAAGTTTCTGACCGCAAAATGCATTGACAGTGTAACCTATGACATTACTGGTTTTACAAATATATAAAGTATATTTACTAAGAGGCCACCCTAGACCACCCCGTTCCTAATTGTTTCTAGCCTGCAATTATTTTTTGGGTTATCACCCAGCATAATACCCAATACCTTACCCAACATTTTCAAGCACTGTAGCAATGAGAAGGCACAGATTTGCTGTATGTTGAATGATATGCGAAAATCCATTCCCATACTCAAAATATTGATATGAAAATACCTTTTCATCATAACACTGAGCTTAAGAATATGAAAACTTCCACAACTAACTGCCAGCTCCAGACTTGTAATCCCACATCTGGTCTCACTACTTAGTGGGTCACTCACCAACAAAGATGCAGGACAAGCGTACAGAGTTTACTGACCTGGACAAAACATTAAACCAGTGAAGCCAGGATGCAAAGGCAGTTACTAAGTTTTCTTGCTCACAAGTTCACTTTAAAGAAACCTCATCACCAAATTTTCCTTTCCATAAACAATTTTTATCCACTGTGCCTATGAACTTTATAGCAAATATGACTTAAGAGTCAATTCCCTAGCACAGCCCCCTCCTCTTTTTAAAGTAATTTACTATGGTGTGCTGGCCTAGCTCCTCTACTCTTCTCCTTACCTCCCTACATAACCTTGCAGATGGGAGGAGCACAGGGGAACACAACAGAATATAACTTGAATGGGGGCTCCAAGTCTTCTGGGGAAGCTGACATCATATCCAAGATAGCGTTGCCCAACAGCAGTCTTAGGGCTTTTTAAAATGTCTACGTGGGAGGCTTTTACAAGCCAATAACTTTCAGAAATTACAATAAATGTACAAATTTTGGGAAGATTGCTGTAGAATGCTTCAAATTTGAAAAAAAAAAAAAAAAAAAAGCCAAAACAATTTAGTAGAAAGACTGCTTAAAACAAAAAGGCATCAGGCAATACACACTCTGTATTCTCACATTCTTAGTCTCCATGCATACTAGGAGCTGAAATAAACCTCTGGAAAAAACAAAACCCTGCTCAATAAGTGTTTTTTTTTCTGGTGTTTCTCTGTTTTGTGTGCTGGTGTTTAGCTGGTTAAGAAATGGGCCAGCAAGCCAGCCAATGTGTCCTTTATATTCAGCTGATGAGTCATCGGTTAACAAATTAATTAAAATTTGAGGTGGGGGGGGTCCCCTCCAATCCATAACAGACTAATCCTATGCAGCCTGGGAACATGATCCCCCCCATAGAGCCTGGCAGGTCAGGAAATGGGAAGGGTGAATGAGCGGGCACCCCTTCCCTGCTGAATCATACCAGGCCACGTGCCCTCAACATGGAAGGGGGGGGGTGCTTTGGTGTAGGGGCCCCACAACCCAAAGCACCTTGTCCCCATTGTAACCCTACTCATTCACCCCAAAAAAATGTTAAAAAGGGAGTAAAAATAGAGCCAGTTTTTGACAAGTCCTTTATTCAAAAACAGAAAAAAAAATATGTTCCCTGAAGACCCCGCCACCTTGTGACATCGACCCAACGTGCCCTGGTCCATGAGACCAGGGTCACCAGAACTAGTGTCCCCATTGGAAGATTTCCCTTCCATTACTGTTCTGGCGACAACCCAAAATCTGGTGTAGTAAACACTGCTTAGTGACTCCACTCCAAGTTCCCCTCAAAGCTAGAGAACCGACCGTGCTGTATTTCTCATGCAAAGTGTGGTCAGTTTTTAATAGGAAAGCAGAGGGACTGGCAGGAACACTAGAGATTTCAAGAAAAGGAAGCAATATAAAGAGAATAGAAGACTTTTTCTTACAAGTACATGGTACAGCAGGCACATATCTGGAAAATGAAACGTTGGGGGGTAACATACTCAAGGTAAAACATGCCCCTATTAAGTCTCTGTGCTCAAAGTACTTCTGCTACCTTATTTGAGCTGCTTGAGCACGGTTAACCTTTTACTTTTCCCCCTCCCCTCTACCATGGCTGTATTGTTCCCTGGCCTGCTGTTGACACAAATTACAATATGAAACTAGATAATCAAAAGAACATCTTATGCAAGTAAAACATGTGGTGCAAGTAGGAAGGTTTAGAACGCCTTTAATATTGCTGGCTAGCTACATGAACTCAGGACCAGATTAACTGTGGTTTCTGTAAAGTTGCCTTGGTAAATGGTAACAAAGCATTCAGTATGGGCACTTTTGCCATCTTTAAAAAATATCTTCAAGGGATAACATTACAGCCTGTGTCCCAAAATAGTAAATGTGGTGCATTTTGCACGAGATAAAACCTACCTACGATTCCAACCATTAAAGTGGATCAGATACTCAGGATTTTTTCTGCCTTTGTCATCTTTGCCAACAACAACATCAACAACCTAAATAAAATCATACAGACAAAAGAAAAAAAAATCTGGTTAAATCTCAAAAATATGGCATTGGTTTTCATGAAAGCCTATATATGGATAGATGTCATTTTACTGGTATTTTCAGGTAATTGTAACCTGCTTGATGGACAAAGTTAAGTTAAAACAGCTAATATACAGCAACAATATAGCTAGGTTTCCAAAAATAGGAGTTTACAGAAAAGATTGCAGCATCGCTGACTGAAAAAGATAGCCATGGCTGTGACTAACGCCGTTCATAAAAACCCTCTAGTTCTGTGAACTGACCAAGACATGGGCCAGATACATCAATATAACTGCTCCACAGAGGACCTTTTAATGACAAACTACCATTTAGCACCTTAAAGGATAAGTTCACCTTTGGGAACATGTTACATGTTCCACCCATTTTTAGGGTGGAACATGTAACATGTTCCCATAGCTGCAGCCGAGCCTACTGCCCCCCTCTCTCTAACAGATAATATGGGGAGAAGTTTCCCTGTATTATCTTTCAAAATTTGAAAACAGCGTGGGCGTGTGAGGATCCACCCACGCAGCCGCGTCATTCATTCACGGACTTCCGTAAAAGAATGAACTGCAAGTACAGAAAGCCTTAGTGGCTGTTGGCTTGTAGTTTTCAATGAACTATCACGGCGTTGTGGAGCGCCGTGGTATTTCATTGAATCTTCCTGTCAGAATATCTGCTTGCCGTACGGGATGTCTACCACGGCCCTCCACAGCTCCCCAGAAGACCTGAATGGCATCAGCAATCTACTGATCGCTTGTGCAATGCTTTCCAGGCTCCTGTAAACAAAAATAAATGCACATTTTTTTACCTGCAAAAAAAAAAAAAAAAATTAGGATTATTTTGGTCTAAAAGGTGAACTTATCCTTTACAGTATATGTGAACCCCTCCCTTGTAAGATAACCCATTTGTTTTAAAATAAAAGCCTGTACATGTGTCACCATAGGAAGTCACTTTCTATAGTGGCACAAGGGAGGAGCCCAGAGCGCCAGCAGGGGACCCCAGAAGAGGAGAATTGGGGCTACTCTAGGCAAAACCATTACACACACCAAGCAAGCATAACAGGTTTGTAAAGTTTACACTTTTTTTTAATAAATCACTTTTAACAAGGTAGAAGGTGCAGTGAAAGGTATAGTAACCAGATACCATTTTTCCTAGGTTCTATTCACACCACTGGGCTGCATTATTCAACACAATGACAAGCTGAAATACAATGTTTGCAATAGGCCCACACCACACACAATCAAATTACCATCCTTCTAGAATGGAATGTACTACAACACTTAACAGGGTGCTGAAGCACACATTATAGAAACAAACTGACCAATTGGAAACTCGGGCACTGCCCGAGGGCCCGGGGTCAGTAGGGGGCCCCATGAGATGCCCCTGGTACCTTTTTCATAGGCTTTTTTGAGTTTAGGCAAGGACACAGGGGCCCCATTATCCCCTATTGCCCGGGGGCCCCATGAGTTGTCAGCTCTCCCCTGCTAATGACCGATTGTTGATGGGTATGTTTCCCCTCATTTAGTGTGTTTGAAAAACACACCGCAAATGCAGGACAGAGGCATCTGGGTTTGTACAAACACAGAAAAAGCTACCAAGATGCATTTGAACTACAAGCAAAGCAAGCCAAATGCAGCCTTTTAATTTTCTATTGGAAAGCAGCTGCCTGCATTAGAACAGAAAACACAAAGTACTCTGGATTCTGTGGAAAAAAAAGCCCAAACAATAACAAAAAGTGTATTTCATTAATATGCACTTAACAGAAAGCACATGCAGCCTTAAAGCTCAAAACCAGGAAAAGTAAAAACCCTCCCTTGCAATGGGGCTGCATCTGAAATGCAAGGGCTAAATGCTGGAAAAGTGGTTTACTTACACAATCCTCCACAGACATTGCTCCCCTATGCTCCAGTGGTGGACTGTCAGTGACGTCCTTACATCTAAAGCACGGGTATAGATTTTGCACCAGCCTTGATGACATCACTTGATCATACGGGAGAAGAGGCTGTAGAGACCAATCTAGCAGCAAAGTGGAGTCACAGTGGAACGGAGGGTCAGGTGGGTAACAGTGTATTTCCAGGTCCCCTAGACCAGGGGTGTCAAACTGGCTGCCCTCCAGATGTTGCGAAACTACAAGTCCCATCATGCCTCTGCCTTTGGGAGTCATGCTTGTAATTGTCAATCTTGCAATGCCTCATGGGACTTGTAGTTTGACAACAGCTGGAGGGCTGCCAGTTTTGACACCCGTGCCCTAGACATTTAAGCCAGGCCAACGGGTTCTGCAACAGTCTTGATGACATCAGAGGACCTACGATCACCTGATCATAATGGAGAAGAGGTTGTTGGGACCAGTCTAGAAGCACAGTGGAGTCTGCAGGAGCAGAGGATCAGGTAAGTAATAGTGCTTTTCTGGGTCCCTCAAGCATTTAACCATAGCAATACAGGGACCACTGCAAGGAAATCTTACTCTTCATGGAGTTCAGCTTTAGCAGTATTAAACCCAAAAGCAAACATATTGTAGCTTACCAATTCATAGATGTGATCTGCAAAAGTTTTCTTTTTGTAGGCTCTTTTCTATTTTCATCTGGTGATGAAAATGATCAAAAGAACAAGCTTTCCAGCAGAATGTATCAATCACAGAGATGAGACAAACCATTTACCACAGATATGGGTGCTTACAATGATCGACTTTTATTTATATAACACCTTTATCTCAAAAAGGAAAAAAAAACAGTTTGCAGTGACTGATTATACACTTTTAGCTAGAGTCTGGTTTCAATTTGTTAGTGTATTTAAATCTGCTAGTTCATCTAAACACTCCTCACTCCATTGACACTGCCGATGTGCCTCCTGTGCTCCTTCACCCAAAGTGAAGTCTCACTAATACTGAAATGTGTTACTATTCAGATTACCAGGTGAAAACAGAGGTAAAAAAGCAAGCTAATGCAGCCACTACTTCTAATGATAGGCAAGCTACAATTTAATACATTTGTTTGTGGAAAGAATAATGCTTTAACCACTTGACCACAAACCAAAGCTTTACTGCTACAGTGCGGGCTGGCTGTGCAGAATATATACACAATTCTGCTTTTCCAGGTAGGGGGCACTTGCACCTGTCTACCTGCAATGTCACTGGCTCCTTTACATGCTGAGCAGCAGGTCCCGGCTAATGATTCATGGCCAGGACCAGCCGATTGTCAGAGCAAGGGACAGGAGAGAGATTTGTGTTGGTAAACAGCTCAGACCTCTCTACGAAAGGGAAGTGCCCCAAGTAAAACAGCACATATAGTACACATTACACATAGTTAGGCACATAGTTCACCCTTTGATTGCCCCAGATGTAAGAGTGGTTGTAAAGGCTCGAGGATTATTACGTTCATGCATTCTATGTATAAAAGCTTAAAAAAAAAAAAAAAAAAAAAAACCACACCTCTGTGCAACCTCGGCTGTCTTTAATCTCTGCCTCCTCATTGGCAGAGATAGCAGTGGGAGCCATTGGCACCCACTGTTGACAATTACAACCAGCGAGCCAATGAGGAGACAGGCTGAGCCATAGCGTGTGTGCGTGTGCGTGTGCGTGTGTGTGTGTGTGTGTGTACATAGAGCAGCAGCTTTGGAGCTCGGGTGCCCCCATAGCAAGCCACTTCCTGTGGGAGCACCTGACAGGAAGGAGGAGCCAGGAGCACAAGAGAGGGACTGCAAAGCCCATACACACAGCAGGTAAGTATAGACATGTTTGCTATTTAAAAAAAAAGCCAACACACACACCTTTAGTATCACTTTAACCCCTTCCTGCGCAGTATCAGTAGTGTCAGTGCATTTTATTAGCACTGATCACTGTATTAGTGTCATTGATGATGCCAGTGTCAGAATGCCTGGCATACTATCACAGTCCCACTATAAATCACTAAATCCCAACCATTATTAGTATATTAACCACGAGCCTACAGGGCACTTATACCCGCTTCCTGCCCAGGCCAATTTCCAGCGCTGTCGCACTTTAAATGACAATTGCGCGGTCATGCAACACTGTACCCATATGAAATTTTTATCATTTTTTTGTGACAGATATATCTTTATTTTTGTGGTATTTAATCAGCTCTGGGTTTTTTATTTTTTCTTAAACCAAAAACCACTGAAAATTTTGGAAAAAAAAAAAAAAAAGTGCTTAGTTTTTGTTATAAAATTTTGTAAATAAGTGATTTTTCTCCTTCACTGATATGCGCTAATGGGGCTGCAGTGATAGGCTGCACTGATGAGGAGGCACTGGTAGGTGACAGTGATGGGCATTGACAGGCAGCACTGATTGTCACTGATGGGTGACAGAAAGGCAGCTCAGATGGGCACTGATATGTGGCATTGATGTGGCACTGATACAAGGCACTGATGGACACTGACAGGTGGCGCTGCTGGGGCTAGACTGATCATCAGAGCACACTGATCATCAGTGCCCTGATGATCAGTGTACATGTCCCCTCCGCAGAAAGCCGATTACCGGCTCTCCTCTCAAGCTGTCAGCGTGACAGCTGGATGGAGAGGAGAGAAATGCCGATAACCCGCATTTCCCTGTTTACATGTGATCAGCTGTGATTGGACACAGCTGATCACATGACCGAGCCGACATTTTCAGCTGTTTCCGTGATTGGTGATCCGCTGTGTCCGAGGGACACAGCGCACCGCCGATCGCCGCGCTGCGTGCTCTCTGAGCCACGCATGCGTGGTGAGAATGGGAGGACATCATATAACGTTTCTCCCAGAACAAGAGAACCACCTTGCGTCCGTCATATTACTATATGGCGGGCGGGAGGTGGTTAAAAAAAAAAAAAAAAAAAAAAAAAACACGTAGCAGAATACATTTTAGCTGAAATTTATGAAAAAAAAAATTAGATTTTTTTTATTGGATGTTTTATAGCACAAAAAAAAAAAAAAAAAACTCAAAATGGTATTTTTTGATTATAGCGCAAAAAATAAAAAAACTAGGGGTCAATCAAATACCACCAAAAGAAAGCTCTATTGGTGTGAAGAAAATGATATGTCATATGGGTACAGTGTCGCATGACCATCATATGGGTACAGTGTCACATGACAGCACAATTGTCAGTTCAAGCAGCGCTGTATAGCAAAAAAAATGGTCTTGTTCTGAATGGGGTAAATGTTCCAGAAGACAAGTGGTTAAGGGTTGCCCATGGCTCCAGTTTCTATACACTGGCCTCAGTGATTCTATTGAGATCTCCAGCACTGTTGCTGGGCCTGCATTAGTTGCCAATAGAGACCAGAGCATGATGCATCGCACACAGTGATGGGGTACAGACAAGTATGACAAGACATGCCCAGTCGGTTACAGCCGAGGAACACACAGTTGACTGCACCCAGCCTCCCGCCCCCACACCGCACCTTGGCATCGTACAACACTTTAGCCTTGGTAGGGTCTGGTTCAAAACACAGCACTTTCTCCCCTTTTTGGAATTTAAATTTCATTCCCCGCGAGTTCATTTGTTCATCATGGCGAAGAGCAGGAAACGAAACTCCCGCAGCGGCCCGAGCGCCGCATAGAGCATGGGGGAAGAGGAAGCCACAACAGACACACACATCTCCATACCCCGCCCCTTCCCCCGATACTAACCAATCAAACGACAACTTCCGGGTAAAGGCTAACCATAGCGGCAATCATATTACAAATGAAGGAGGAGCTACTATCATATCAGCGAATCAAAAACGGAATGCGTGTTGAGTGTTGTTATTAGTGAGGAAGGCGACTTCTGGGCACGTGATCAGGAATCCTTTGTTACGTTGAAAGCTAACCTCTGACGCTCAGCGGAGGACTGCGGGGAAACACTATTTATTGTGGGCAAGTGCCCTGAATATAGCTGCTATAGCTGTAATGCTTACAACTAGGAGTATTTCAAAGACTCCGCAGACAGAGCATATACATGGGTTGGAACACCTGCTAGCTCACAGGACTCCTGCTTGGACTGTGAAGAAGGGGGTGTACTCCCTTCTTCAAGGTCCAAGCAGTACTAATGCACAGAGGGATTTATTTACTAAAGCTGGAGAGTGCAGAATCAGGTGCTCTTTTGCATAGAAACCAATCAGCTTCCAGATTTTATTGCAAAAGCTTAAAGGATAAGTTCACCTTTGGAACATGTTAAATGTTCCAACTAGTGTTGCCACCTCATCCCTATAAAATGATTATACAGGATTTATATAGTGCCAACAGTTTGCGCAGCGCTTTACAAAATGAAGGTAGACATTGCAGTTACAATACAATTTGGTACAAGAGGAAACGGGGCCCTGCTCGATAGATCTTACAATCTAGGAGGAAGAGTTGATACAAAAGGTAATAGCTGTGGGGGGATGAGCTGATGGAGGAAATAAATGGCTGTTTACTAGTTAGAAGCAGGATAGGCTTCTATAAAGAGAAAGGTTTTCAGGGATCATCTAAAGGTGGATAGATTAGGAAACAGCTGGATAGATTGGGGTAGGGAGTTCCATAGGATGGGAGAAGCTCAGGAGAAGTCCTGGAGGCAGGCATGGGAGGAGTTGACATGGGATCTAGAGAGCAGAAGGTCTTGGGAGGATCGAAGAGAGTGGTTTGGTTGATATTTTGAGACCAGGTTGGTGATGGTTTCAGTGCGGCTGGCCAGTTCTGGGAGGACGTCATATGACTTCCTCCCAGAACGAGCCCCCGGCGATCTCCGTTATCGCTGTATCCTACGGACACAGCTGTTCACGTGATGTGGTAAAAGGCCAATCACAGCAACTTTTACCACGTGATCAGCCATGTCCAATGACACAGCAGATCACCACTAAATGCAGTTGCCGGTTGTCAGCTGCAATTTCCTCACACTAAATAAAATTTTAAAAAATGTAGCACTTACACAAAATAAATAATGCATAAACAATAAATATTGTGTATATAAAAAGTGACAAATATAAATATATGTGCATTCTGTGGGCTGTATTCCTATATAAACGTATTGATCACACAGGGATCAAGCAATGGAGTGAAACAAAGTGATCAAGAAACTTATTAAAGATGATGAAATAAAACTCCAGTGACCACACTATTCTCCCAAACAATTGATCTAAATGAGATCACAAAACTACCTAAAGTGCAAAAAAATATATTCCAATGACTATATCTGTGCTCAGAAGAAAAGGACTCTGAAAAGTCCAAGTGATGTTTTTCAAAAAAACAGTCCAAAAAAAAATTTATAATAAACACATGTATGCACATAAATGCAGGTATCAGAAATAAATGCAAAACGAAGTGTGAAATTAAACACATACACTAACACATGAGTGATGGTGACAAATACTGTTCCCATGTGGATATATAAATAAACTACAGGAACTCTGCAAGTTCCCCAATTCCAAATAATAAAAAAGTCCAAAAAATTGTGTTTTTCAAAAACACTTAATCTTCCGACAAACACCCGTGTTCAAGTGTATGATAACACGTATCCATAAGTGGCTGAATTATGCGCTCACCTCAATATTTTGACCTACTAAGGGACAAAACACTTTTGGATCACTCACTAGGATCCTCCATGCAAGAGACTCTCTGGGATGACTTCCCCTCTCTCCACAGCAGTTTCCCCTTATGAACAGGTATTGTGGCAATAAAAACTCTCCAGGTAGGATATGGCCAATTATCTCATCAAAACACAATAAAACTCCCATAGCATAATACTGTTTTATTGATGAGTAAATTTTACCCCAAAAACTTCATTATATGCACTCACATATTGATATCTTTGCACAGAGCATTCATATTGGCAAACCTCATGTTACATGGGTGTAGCAAGATGGCGTCTCAAACCAGAAGTACATCACCGAGCTGCCAACGCATAGCGTCACGTTGTCACGTGACTTCTTCAGGGCTAACCCTGTGTGTGCGAGTAAAATAAGCTCACGGGTGTCATGCACATCATTGTTGTCAGTGTGAGTAAAATAAGCTCATGGGTGTCATACACATCATTGGTGTCAGCATGAATAAAATAATCCAATGGGTGACCATTTAAGGCTTTTAGTGTCACATCTTTCCCTCTATACTTTCCTGTGTTTTAGACTGAATAGACCCAGAGGGAATGGAAAGTGTGAGTAAAATAAGGCCCATTATTGGTGCCAATGTGAGTAAAATAAACCCATGGGTATCATGTACATCATTGGTGTCAGTATGAGTAAAATAAGTCCATGGGTGCCATGTACATCGTTGGTGTCAGTGTGAGTAAAATAAGCCCATGGGTGTCATGTACATCATTGGTGTCGATGTAGGTAAAATAAGCCTAATGGTGTCATGCACATTGGTGTCAGTGTGAGTAAAATAAACTCATGGGTGTCATTCACATCTTGGTGTCAGTGTGAGCAAAGAAAAGTCCATGGGTGTCATGCACATCATTGGTGTCAGTGTGAATAAAAAAAGCCCATGGGTGTCATGCACATTGTTGGTGTCAATGTGAGTAAAGAAAAACCCATAGGTATCATGCACATCATTAGTGTCAGTATGAATAACATAAGCCCATGGGTGTCATGACATTGTTGGTGTCAGTGTGAGTAAAATTAGCTCATGGGTATCATTCACATCATTGACGTCAGTGTAATTAAAATAAGCCCATGGGTGTCATGCACATTGTTGGTATCAGTGTAAGTAAAAAAAGCCCATGGGTGTCATGCACATCATTGGTGTCAGTGTGAGTAAAGTAAGCTCATGGATATCGTGGTTGGTGTCAGTGTGAGTAAAGTAAGCTCATAGGTGTCAGCTATCCCAGCCCCCACTTATATGTACCTGAGCCCCATATCAATCCAACGCTGTTTCCGAGAGCAGATTTTGCTCTCCTTCCTTCTCCTGACTGAGATGCAGCAGCCATAGTCATTGGTTCCTGCTGCTGTCAATCACAGCCAGCGAGGAAGGAGTCGGGGCGGAGCCAAGCTGCGCTCTGTGTGTCGACGAACACACACAGAACAGGGCTCAGGAGCGAGCAGGCATGAGTGCAAGTAAGTATAATATGTTTGTTATTTTAAAAACAAAAAAACATTTCCCCTTTACAAGTACTTTAAGCTCAGGATATGGGAACCTTAGACTAGTACTGAGAATATCAGATTGAAAAAAAAAAAGTTTTAGGTTTGGCCACACATAAAAGATAAAATTGAGGTGATGAGGGAAGGTGAACTGTATAAACAGATTCTCTGATAAAGGGGAGGAAAGGGTGACCCAATACAAAACTGGAGTAACTGTAAATATAGCATAGATTGAGCCATGTAATACATAATCTTAGGCTTGGTCACTGAAAACCACAAATGTTTAAACCAAACCAGCCCTTGTACCTCCCCTTTTAGGAGCGCTGTGTTTTGCCCTCCAAAATGTTCCCCTATTTACTGAGTTTAAAAACAGCCCCAAAGCATGATTGACAAACTGCCCTTGTGTAGCACTACACACGGGGACTTTAAGTCTCCACTCTACGCTTCAGGTAGCGCACAGCAGTCCCCAGGTAGCGTTAGGAGTTGCTCTTGAGTTTTGCATCCCCCCCCCCCTAAAGCTCTGCACATCAAGTTTGTAACAAGTATTTTGAGTATTCAATTGGTGCTTACACTTTGCACACTGGAGACGTATGAACCTAAACAGTCCTTGAACTTGGTTTTATTGCCATTTTTTATTAAGGGATTAACAACTTGGATGGAGTCCCTAGGGGTATATGGGTATGCCCAAGGAAACTGTAAACTTGAGCACAACGTAGAGCAACTATGTACAAAAATGTGGACAAAGATAGTCTCTCCTTTAAGAACATCCAAAGCTCTTTGGTGTACCTCCTCAGACCCCAGATGAATTCTCCTCTTCTGCCAGCTGCCTGAGGGTATTCCTTAGGCAAGGAGGTCCAGAAATTGGCAATTTAATGCAGCAGTCCCAGATGGGAAGCTAGTTGGGTTTTCCACCTGACTGCCCTCTCCCTTTATCCGGCTCAGGGGGTGTAAAAGTACTCACACTGTCCTCTCTTAAGAGAAAATCCCCCTCTTCTCTTGTCTTCCTGGAACATACTCTGGCTTCACCCTTTGTAACCACACCAGTAAATGACTAGAAAGGAGCTGAGCTATCACAGTCATTTTAAAGGCCTAATTGGTGCTTATTATGCTTGATTGCTGCTCGGTGACATCCACAGGTGTTTTCAATACCTGATGGAAAGCACCTGTATGAACCTCTGTTCTCAGAGTGGTAGTCTTTAAGGGGTTGAATAATTGTGGCAATGAAGAAACCACATAAGAAACCCATTTACTACTGTATTACATAAACAATTGATGTCATTTTAGTTGCATTTGGGTCTAGTTACAACGTCCTTGTAGGATTTGATTCTAGCTTAATGGGTTGTTGGTTGCCTTCAGGCCTTTCACTGGGCTGGCTCCTTCCCTGCTACTCAGGATTGTGCTCCCTTGGAGATGGTGGTAAAGTGGAGATCCTCTTCTCTAGTGCCTGCCTTCTGGACCCCCTCCCAAGTTCCACATTCAATATTCCACCCAACACCACTCCCTTCCACCCAGGCTCCACGATACTTAAGGTTGCCTTTATCACCAATGC